GGTCCAATCCCTCCTAGCCAAACTAGTACATGGCCTTTCATTAAAAAAGAAAACAATATATGTGATCTTTCAATTTTTAACTGTATGATTGAACCAGAAAAAAAAAGAAGATAATGATTCAAATGCTGTAGCCTGAGATTTAATTGTAAATTTACAAGTGTTGAAGAATGCAACATTATCTGCAAGGTATTTCAGCTATATTTGTTAGCCTACAGACACATCCGGAATGCAAAATGCATAATTGTTTGAAATGATGATTTCATCACACAGAGGTAGGACCACATCATTAAGATATAGAGTTACATTCAGATACTTCTAATGAGCAAATATCACTATTATGCCATCTGCATTCCGGACGCATCTTTCGGTGCATTTTGCTAAGATACCTAAAGCTAAATGCAAACTTAGAGGTCAACCACCCTGCATCCAGCCCCCTCCCCCCCCCCCCCCCCCCTCCTCCATTGAAACAATCACCTAAAAATGAATTTGCAAGAACTAATAGTATGCTCTCACTTGGTCACTGCTCCCTTGCAAATTTACTTGTATATGTTTTGATAGAAAGCAAACTTTTAATTCTGAAGAGGCAAAATATCTTTATGGGGGGCTAGGGAAGGCGGTGGGGGGGGGGGGATACCATCAAAGAGACTTTGCTGGTCACCTCCACTACCACAATTCTTGGCATGTTGCATCCTTCCTCTCCTTGTCGTCTCTGGTCTGTGTAAATTTACAATTCATTATCTGTATTTCTGAAAACTTTTGTTGTGAGCCAACGTTGTCTTGGTTTGTTACAGACCCAGCCCTTATTCCAAGCGGGATGGTCTTCCATTCACCGAGCGGTGGGTACAGCTACACGTACCACAACGGAGTCGCGTACTTCAATCCTTCGGACGCACAGGCAGCTACGCACGGTCATCCAGGTCATCCAGTACAGACAACGATAGCTGCGCATCATCATCATCAGCAGCAAGCACAGGTAAATTCTTTCCAAAGAAGATCCCATTACACACCCTTAAAAGTATAGACCAGTTTTGGAAACGCCCCCCCCCCCCCTCTCAAAAAAGGGAATGCAAGCTCTTATTACCAATCTTGTGAAAAAATATGTTTTGAATCATACGTGATGATACAAATTTTGCCGGGAAACGCCTACTAATTGATATATTTAGTGAATTATTTTATCTATCCGGACTGGATAAATATCGTGCAGTCCTATATACATCTTTCTGTGTACAGTGCTTGTAACTTTACTCGAATCCACAACGTTTCTTTCGCAATGCAATCGCATGACCAGAACTGGTCATGCCTTTAAGATATAAAGTTGTACTGTACTAGAAGCACTATAACAAAATCCCCTCTAGCGCCATCTCAAGTCAACTGTAGCAGTATGGTCCTGTAACTCGCTGCTTTCATAGCTGCGCTGTTGGTTCTTGCATCGTGTCCTCTGTCTGCTAAGTGGAAATTAGGTTCTGGGTTACGCACTGCCAGCAAGTTGACCATAAGATGGTCGCTGTGTGATAAACACCATAAACAGACCTGCCAACCAGTAAGATTTAGTCGTATTTAGTACGATTTTTTTAGAAGCAAATACCTGAATACAATACAATTTCCAAAAAAAAAAACCAAAATGTCCTGTAAAGTATCCTACAAGCATCTCAAATTGGCAATTTGGGGATGTTCATGTTCATCGAACACAACAGTCGTGCATGTTCAACCAACGATCCATAACAAAAATTGATCCGCTTAACAGTCTGTGTTTATTTTTAAGAATACAACTTTTGTCAGTAAAATACAACACTTGGGATTAAAGAATACAGTTTTTGAACTCCAGAGGTTGGCAGGTCTGCATAAAGCTAGGGCCGTAAGTTCATCAGTTCAGTATCGCTTTAAATTCTAAAGTTGTTGTATGTCATTCTCTCCCTTTGCTCTCCCTTTTGCAGCCCCAGTATGCACCATAAACAGTATGCTAGGGCAGAAAGTTCATCAGTTCAGTATCGCTTTAAATTCTAAAGCTGTTGTTTGTCATTCTCTCCCTTTGCTCTCCCGTTTACAGCCCCAGTATGCACCGTACACCGTCCCCTTCATGCTGCCTCCTCCAACCCCTCAGCAATACATGACAAACCAACATCAACAGTTTGCCTACCAACAGCCCCAACCGGTCAGACAGGTAAACGCATGCATTCTGCAAGATTTAGTAAATCAATAAAGATTTTTGTGATTCTAAAACCTTTTCTTGTGCTTTTTCTATTATAATTTTCGTTTCATCGCACATTTTTTGTAATATTCATCAGGTGGGCTGTATCTAATACAGACCACCTTATATTTTTGTTAAAATCGCCTTTATTTATTCTTTATTATTTATTTTTCTTAAAGGTAGAGACCAGTATTGGCAACGCCCCAATTTCAAAAAATGAAATGGAAGCTCTCATTACCAATCATGTGAAAGAATACGTTTTGACTAATACATGATGATAAAAAAATTGCCGGGAAACCGCCTACTAATTCATATATTTGGTAAATTTATTTCTCTCATGGTCTGGTGAGAGAGATAGGGTAGTCCCATATACATCTTTCTGTGTATAGTGCTTGTAACTTTACGAAGAATGAGCCAAATTTCTTATCATTTTGATGATTCCAGAACCTTGCAGATGCTAGATGCTAGATGATCGACCTTTTCTGATCGATTCCACAACGTTTCTTTCACAATGCAATCGCATGACCATTACTGGTCTTTACCTTTAATTTGAACCACTTTTTCGTTAGCAAGATAACTTGAAAATGGCTGAATCAAATAAATTAAAATTTGGCACACATACGTATAGGCATATAGAGAAATCAAAATAAGGTTTTCAACCTTGACCTTGACTGATGACGTCATCTAGGCGCCATTTTGTGAAAAATAACTCATGATCATATCTTCATAACCGAAAGTTATTTCTTATTCATATTTATCATGATCAAGGTCAATTTCAGATCAAAAAACGCGCGCGTGCGCGTACGTCCGCGCGTCAATACGCGCGCAAAAATTTTAAATGCTCAAAATCGTCTCAAATTTATTTTGCATACGTTTCAGGTCATTTTAAGCATTTTATAAAAAATCGCGCACACGCGCATGCGCGCGCGTTTTTAAAATACGAATTTGCATATTATGAAGTCAGCATATTTATGTAAAATTGATTGTATCTCTGTATATATTGATCAATTTTCTTCAAAATTTCGAATATGTTGTAGCTAAGATAATTTTCTACAAGTTCAATAATAACCATTTTTCATTTTGATGACGTCATCAGAGTGAAAATTTCGATTAAAGGCTTTATATCAGAAATTTCACAATTTGCGTGTTATGACTATAGAAGGTGAATTTCGTTCACGTACTGAATCTACATGATATTGTTTATTAAGAATTTTAAAGCAGTTTCTCGCTTATTTTTGCTCTATTTTGTTTTCAAATTTTAGTTGACCAGCCCACCTATACTTGTTCCAAACAAGTATTACATGTCTAGTTGTATTATGTTTTGCATGAGAAATAAAATAATTTTTTCCTTTTTCTCAAATAGGAGATAATTCGACCATTCAAAATCTCTTGTTCTGCAAGATTTTGTAAATCTATAAAGATTTGTGTGATTCTAAAACTTTACAATGCTTGCATTTTTCCTTTTTCTCAAATAGGAGTTAATTCGACCATTCAAAATTTCTTGTACCGGTAGACAGTGTGAAGGGGCATGACCAGTAATTTGTTTCGCCTTTGAGAGTCAGGGATGCCAGTTTTTTCAGGCAATAGCCTGAATTCAGGCCCTGGCGAGTTATTTTCATACCATAGTTTAGGCTTTCTTGTGTACAACCTAGCTCATTCTAGGTGATTTTCAGGCCCTCTGATCAATTCTAACTGGCATCCCTGGATAATAAATTGAATCAGTTGAATTGATATCAATGGCATTCAAGTCAATCAGAAGGAAATGAAATTGAATTAATTGTATAGAATGGAAATGAAATGCATTATTTAATCTACTGGTAATTATAACATAAATTGTCTTCTTATTGGTAACTTATTGGCTAATATGATAATGTAGGAGTGTAATGTATTTCCACCATATTCAAACCCCCTCCCCCTTCTTTTCTATGAGATCATGAAGATTATTCGATAATTATAATAATAATGCTTTGTTCTTTTACAGTGCATTTCATGTCTGTTGTCATTACAATGCGCTTTACAATATACATAATTATAAAAGGAAGATGAGTAAACAGAAGCACATTATAGTAAATAATGAAGTTCTTACAAAGAAAAAAACTGCAACATTAATTATCCTTTAGTACTATTGATATGCTAATTTGAAAAAATGTTTTGAGTTGAGATATGAATATTTCAGTATTGGATATACAGCGTATCAATATCTTTCTCTAATTTTTGTGTAGCCTGCGCCACAGTACCAGACACAGTGGAGATGGGTACCTGCACAGGTAAGAACAAGCCATTTATCACACCTCGTCCTCCCAATAGTCTACTACTGATGACAGGCATTCATTCCGTTAACATTTATTTTGACAGAATAAAACTTAAAGATAAACTTGAGTTCTGGTAAAAAAAGAAAATGAATTCTCACAGAATCTAACGAAACTTACACAGAATGTTCAAGATTACAAATAAATGTCATGTGCCAAACAATTTTGGAAGAAAATTTATACTGGCTGAGTAATGAGCATAGAAAGATAAGGAAATCAAGGTAGTACCAGCCCCGACACCATGTGTGTTGTCCCATATACATCTTTCTGTGTAAGTGATTGTTACTTTACCAAGACTCTGCCAAATTTATGATGATTTTGATGACCCCAGAACCTTGCATTACACACCATTACTTACATGCTATATGATCAACTTTTCTGATCCATTCCACACCTTTTCTTTCACAATGCAATCGCATTACCAGAACTCAAGTTTATCTTTAAGCTATGTTCTTTGGTCTGTCCCCCTGTTTGTTACCACTATAAGTAGAGTTTTATCCCTAGTCTTGCGGACATACCGGTGAAGCCAAAATGCATTACTTACCTGTGTAATGATTTCCCACTAAATATACAGGTCCCGCTTTGTGTTCTGGTTTATTTTTAGTCCTGATGTTACAAGAGAATAGAAGTTACAAAGAGGTAATTTTATTGGTTCCTAGGAGTTTGTTAGAAAATCAAAGCTTTATGAAATAAATAAATGATGCATCAGTCAAGAAAATCAGGGCATCGTTTCACACAACCGTCTTAAGAACAAGTTCACCGACATTGCATTGAAAGGCATCCTAAATTTAATACAGGTGTTTCAAAGGGTTGTCGACAAAATCGTACTTATGATGGTTTTGTGAAACGCTGCCCAGCAGATTACTGACTTGAGTTATGTGCTCTAATCCAGGGAAAAAAATACACGGGGGTTCAGGGCGAATTCGCCCCCAAAAAGAGCACCCGAAAGTCATAAAAGAGCCAACATTTTTTTTGCATAGGGTTGAATGCATAACAAACTAAATTAAGTGTTATTTTCATGCAAGCAAGCTTGAAAAGTAGCCCCCAAAATATTTTTAATACTTTTTTCCCTGCTCAAATTCTTGCTTCTTCAGGCTCCATCTGCAGCAGCGGTGAACGGCGGCATGCTACCGGTCTCCCCGCTCTACCCCAACCCTCCCCAGCCCCATAGCCATGAGGTCATCTACCAACAGGCCCACCATTACCAGACACAAGAGATTGGAGAGGTGCCTATCATGGAACCCTCAGCAGCAGAGGTAAGCAAACACCCCCATACACCAGTGGTATAGCCCATTGTGGCATTGTGCTTAATAGCAAACTTTAAAGGGATAGTTGAGTTCTGTTTCAGAGGGCGCTACACAAAATAATTTTATAATGAGATAAGGAAAAACTGAGTGTCAAATTTGAAAAAGCATACAATTTAAATGACAAAATCATCTTTGTTTGATCAAAATCGGTTCAGAGACGGCTGAAATATCCATAAATATAACCATTTATAATATTGTGTACCACCACAAGTATTACATAGTTTGAAAAAGCCGTTGATAAACAGAAAAGCGCCTTATACGTTTTATTCCATCCAATGCCGATGTTGGCTTTTTCCTGTCAGTTATAATAACAACCAGCCGTCTAATGTATTGTCATTATTGATTAATTAATTAATTAACGTTCACCATATTTTTTTTTTAAAGTAGAGCTGAATTGGTATGATCGTACTGGCTAAATTTTGCACATTTTGGGGTCTGAAATTACCTTCATAGCAATTTTAGGTCCTAAAAGGGCACTAGAAAATGTCAAAAATAAGGATAAGTGCAAGAAACATGCACTTTGAAGACTGTTGGTCCCCCATGATCCTCTTTTTCTTATGTTAATTGAGAGCTGAGTTGATGAGATAGACACCCGTCAGTGACCTCGTTGGATGGTCTAATCTCTCCTGTCCACACTAGTACAGACAGCCTTTAAGCGTTTCTTTCTCACGGCTTGTTTTTGAGGTCTCATAACATGTCTGGCATAGAAAGATTGATATTTGATATTCAAACTAAATCCCAATCATTCAATTGAATTATGATTCATTTTGATTAATGCACTTTCTCCATTGGGACTGGGCAGCATTCCTGGGTCCTACCTGAAATCATGGTACAGAAATAGCCTTTTATTTTAATAAGTAGTATTAATAACAAGTTATATAATTTGTGGTGATTTTTCATTCTGAAGTTTCAGTGTTACAGATACCATTAGCAATAGATAAAGGTGAGATATGTGTGAACAGCATCCTTATTATTCTAGCTGTTACTGCATCTTCATCTGTTGTGTTTAGAGTGATTTAGCTTTGTAAAAATGCCTTTGGTCATTTGCAAGCATACGTGTGACTCAACATGTTACTGCCTTTTTAATCTTTTGTGGTAATTTGTTGAAGCTTTGTGGAACTTTTCTGTGATATTACTGAACTTGCTTTGCATTATCATCTGTTCATATTGTTGTTTGCTCTACTTATGAAAATGTTGACCAGGCGCCATTTACAAGCGCACACATGCCAATCCAACCACATTAACGGTCGCATTCTACTGGGTACCCATTACCACCTGGGTGGAGAGTGCCAAAATTGGGATAAGACCTAGCATGCAATTGCTTATCTGCACATGATAGTGTACACGCTCCTCTCCCTGGGGAGTATTCCGACTAGGCGCCATTTACAAGCGCACACATGCCAATCCAACCACATTAACGGTCGCATCCTACCAGGTGTACACCTTTTCATCACCTGGGTGGAGGGTGCCAAAATTGGGATTAGACCTAGCATGAAATTGGTTATCTGCACATGATAGTGTACACGCTTCTCTCCCTGGGGATTATTCCGACCAGGTGCCAATCACAAGCGCACACATGAATTCCAATCCAACCACATTAACATTTGCATCCTACGAGGTGTGCACCTTTTCAACACCTGGGTGGAGGGTGCCAAAATTGGGATTAGACCTAGCATGAAATTGGTTATCTGCACATGATAGTGTACACGCTTCTCTCCCTGGGGAGTATTCCGACCAGGTGCCAATCACAAGCGCACACATGAATTCCAATCCAACCACATTAACATTCGCATCCTACCCGGTGTGCACCTATTTAACACCTGGGTGGAGAGTGGCAAAATTATCATTAGACCTACCATGCGGATTGTGGAGTTGACCAATGATTTTCTTATAGATCTTTCAGAATGGTTGAAAGAGACATACTAGAGAATGAATGGCTTTTGAAACCTGCATGCAAATGATGCTGTCATTACTTTTAACATTCTATTTGGTAGTGCTTTTTACTCTTGGGTAGCTTTAAAGGTAAAGACCAGTATTGGAAACGCCCCAATTTCAAAAAATGAAATGGAAGCTCTCATTACCAATCATGTGAAAGAATATGTTTTAACTAATACATGATGATAAAAAAATTGCCGGGAAACTGCCTGCTAATTCATATATTTGGTAAATTTGTTTCTCTCATGGTCTGTGAGAGATATAGGGTAGTCCCATATACATCTTTCTGTGTATAGTGCTTGTAACTTTACGAAGAATGGGCCAAATTTCTTATCATTTTGATGATTCCAGAACCTTGCAGATGCTAGATGATCGATGCTAGATGATCAACCTTTTCTGATCGATTCCACAACGTTTCGTTCACAATGCAATCGCATGACCATAACTGGTCTTTACCTTTAATAGCGAAATGTAATGGCACAAAGAGGTGCGTCCGTAGCGCAAAAAGGCCCAACAGTGAATGTAAATTTGTAATTTGACGTATATGAAAATGAAAGTTTTATGAAATATTGAGTCTTATCAAGGTAATAGAGGTATTTATTACTTCCATGTCCTAGAAATACTGGTCTAAATTGCATTGCCACGAAAATATTATTTTCAAAACAATTTGTGCAATTTGCATTGGGGACGGCTCTTTTGGTGTATTTTGCTGAACTACTTTGTTTGTAATTTATACTGATAAAATTTTGTTAGTGTATCTTATGATTTTAGAATAGGGAAAGCCTAAAAATCATTAAAATCAACATGGATTCATTTATTGCCACTTTTTGTATATCACTGAAAGTTGTTTGTAGCAAGGTGTACGATGGAAAAAGTAATAATTATTTAGACATGGTCTCCTAAACTATTTATGGTAGATGTCTTTTAAGTTTTAACTGTGTAGTACAGTATTGAGGATGGGAAAAAGTTGCTGTGTGTAACAGTGGCTTCTTTAGTGTACTCATCTATAGCAAATGCAAGAAATGTGAAGCACTACCTGCGTATATATATATATAACTAGTTTGCTATTTTTGAAGGTGGTTAAAGACCCACTGTACTACTTGTAGCTACTTGCTCCCTCTACATAGAAAACAATGCTTAAGCGGTGCCTGTCGGTCCCCCATGATCCTCTTTTTCTTATGCTAATTGAGAGCTGAGTTGATGAGATAGCCACCTGTCATTGACCTTGCTGGGTGGTCTAGTCCCCACTGGCCAAACTAGTACAGACAAGTACGTGTGTTTTCTAGAGTTAACGTGATAGTGTTTGACATGTTTGAATCGTGTTTGTTTTACCACAGGGTACCACCGTAGTACAGACTGCTGATCATATGCCCACCCAAGTCATCAGCCGTCACCAACCCTACCTAGGAACCACTGAACTCCAACAGGCCACCTACACCACCTCCTACGACCCCAACACCATCCCGACCTCCATCGTCCAAAAGGTCACGCCCAAGTTCACCGGGAAGCGCCCCATCAAGATGCCGAGACGCGGGGACCGCGCCGTCAAGACGATCCGGACGGACATCCCCGGGCAACCGTGCACCTCCCCCATGGGCTACCCGACCATGATGATGGCCGCCCCGCCCCGCATGGACGAGGCGCTGATGATGAACCTCAACAGCACGGCTCATATGGGGGTTAGCGCCGCCCACATGGCTGGCCCCGCCCACATGGTGAACTCCACCCACATGGGAAACGCCACCCATATCACAGGAGGCGGGGACAACTGATTGGTGACGCATCCCCTGTACTGTAACCCAACCCCATCACTTCACCCCGCCCATTTAGTACACCCTAGGTCCCACCCAAATGGTGCTTTACTTGCTGATGAGGGTTAAACACGTGCCTTAATTACCCTTTATTACCATGCTTGGGTGTGATTTCAAAGTTATCTGGTGACAAAAAAAATGTATACTGTGATTTATATAATGTAAGTAGAAACTAAGCCTTTTCTTTTGACATATCAAAGTACATTAATTCTTAGACGCTGTATATATTTCATTCAATATTCAACTCGTGATCACAGAAGGTCAGATGGATATCTGACACATTTTAGTGAGTGACATCACTAAAATAATATTTTTCTTTTTTCTATCAGGGTATAGTGCCTTTCATTGTCTTCCATGCCTCTTTCTAAACATGAATTCATGATGCGATTTTGGATTAGCTGAAAGGGAACATCAAAGCTTTTTGTGCGAGAGGCTTTTGATAGAGACGGCAAAATTACGGGTTTTTATGCCTCCGTTACGAAGTAGCCGGAGGCATTATGTTTTCGGGTTGTCCGTCCGTCCGTCCGTACGTCCGTACGTCCGTACGTCCGTCCGTCCGTACGTCCCGTTCTTGTGATCGCGTTATCTGAAGAACCGATTGATGGATCCCTGCCAAACTTTGGTCATGTATGTATCTTGCAGAGCCGATGAACTGATTAGATTTTGGGGTCACGAGGTCAAAGGTCAAGGGTCACAGGGGTCATTATGTATGCAAAAACAGCTTGTGATCGCGTTATCTGAAGAACTGATTGATGGATTGCTGCCAAACTTTGGTCATGTATGTATCTTGCAAAGCCAATGAACTGATTAGATTTTGGGGTCACGAGGTCAAAGGTCAAGGGTCACAGGGCTCATTATTTATGCAAAAACAGCTTGTGATCGCGTTATTTGAAGAACTGATTGATGGATTCCTGCCAAACTTTGGTCATGTATGTATCTTGCAAAGCCGATGAACTGATTAGATTTTGGGGTCAGTAGGTCAAAGGTCAAGGGTCACAGGGCTCATTATGTATGCAAAAATAGCTTGTGATCGCATTATCATTAGAACAGATTGATGGATTCCTACCAAACTTTGATCCTGTATGTATCTTGCAGAGCCAATGAACTGAGTAGATTCTTGGGTCATGAGTTCAAAGGTCAAAGGTCATGGGCTCATTATGTATGCAAAAATAGCTTGTGAACGCATTCTCATTAGAACTGACAGATGGATTACTATTTAACTCAATACATCTTGCAGAGCCAATGAACTGAGTAGATTTTAGGGTCATGAGGTCAAAGATCAAAGGGTCATATATGTATATGAGAAATTGCTTGTAATCACGATATTCTGAGAACCTGTTAATGGATTACAATTGAACTTGAATTAAAAAAAATTCTTCTGTTTTGGTTTGTAAAATTCAAATTGCTCTTTGACGGAGGCATCATTTTCGACTGCGCGCAGTCGAAGTTCCATCTAGTTGATTGGTGTAATCGTTACTGCACTAAGTTTGAACGCATCCCTCAGCGGTGTTAGTCAATGTGCAAATTTGAAATATGAGTGCAAGATTATAAAAGGATAGGTGCCATACGAATCATTTATATACCTCGTGCTAAGTCTTGCGAGTATAGTAACACAATTACACTAAAGTGTGCTCTGAAGTATGATTCATATGTCTAAAAATATCGCTAGCTCCTTGCCACATTTTGTAAAGTGCTCATACAGAATACAGAAAGACAGTATTCATATATTCAGAAATCAAGCTATTTAATGTTCTTGTAAATAGATATTAATGCTCATCTCTTTTGTTCTACCCTTCTCAAAAAATACTATGCCTTCCATAAAGCCTGAAATAATGAAGCAAAGAGCTTGCTTTTGTATAAATTCTTGCCCTTGTGAATAATATCTCTAAAAAACGACATGCCTTGTTTAACTTGCAATGGTATTTTGCTTCACGCTTAATACCAGTTAGTAGCAATTTCAAAAAACCTTGGTTTCTTTGGGTTTTGAATTCTATTAAAACAATTGATAGCTAGGTAATATGCCCTTTACATAGAACTTTAATGAGTACAGAAGCATACTTTTGCACCAAGGCTTGCCTACTCAGTTTGCAGCTCCTAAGCTGCAAAGAGGCTGAAACATACTGATGTGTAATTATATCAAACAAAGTTTATGTTAGAAATACTAACGGCCTTTCATTGAATTGTAACAAGTGAGAACAAATCTAGTATTACACAAAGGTCACAATTTTACAAACTATTTTGTAATGCTTCCTACTTAGTACTAAGTGCCTAACTAGCACGTGCTCAAAAACGATTTATAAGTAGTGTAATATTTTTGTTTTGAAAATAACTCGAAGTTGACATTGAAAAAAAGTATATCTTCCTTCGCTTTGATCTTCAGGAAAAAGGTTTTTGTGATTTTGAACAAAGGTGCCTTCCCTTAGACAAAATGGTATATTTACTATTAAGAAGCATGTCATATTATCCCGAGTACACATCGTCATGATATGTATATATTGCTTGTGTCTGGTATGCAATACATTAGAATAGTCATGAGAGAGTCATGAATATTCATGATTAGTCATGTAGAATAGTCATCAGTAGTCTTAAATCTATGATCGATTAAGAAAAAAAAAACCTCTCAGTAGTGTGTGATTACATATTTACTAAAGCCAATATATGCTTGTCTAAATATATAAACCTACATGTAGTAGTTCGGATTTGTAAGCTACACGTAGTTAGAAACGCAAGAGCAATGAACGAAAACCAAAAAAATATGAAAAACAGACAATGGTGAAAATGATAAAACTTTGTGTGTGAAATAATAAGGATATATGATGTAAAAGTACTTTCATATTTATGTTTAGCTTTAGTTCTACTTCTATGTTTGACTCTTTCATGTGCGATTGAGATTATGTTTATCATATTTGTTACAGTACAACTCGTTGCATCCTATGCGACATATATTACAAAGAAATTATATATTCTTGTGGAGATGATATTCGATACATATATTTAGTTTAGTCTAGGTATGACAACTCTATTCATTTATGTTGATTGTTTGCAGCTGTTCTGTGTCACAAACAAAGTTTGTATGTCCTAGCCACCGATAAGTGCTCTGTAGAGAAAGAATAGATACGGTCTTTCGTTCGAATTTAAAGTGATCAGGCTTTCAGTGTTGTCTTTCCCTATTCCTACAAATAATTAGGAAATTAAAAGAATATTCATCTTGGAACCGTAAAGTAGATATAACATACTTATTATTATCATTAACTAATGATGTCAAATGCGCCTGAGAAATAACCTAGTTTCGCTGACTATAGGGGTCTCTGCCAATTCAGTATAACTGATTGGCATGTAAGGCCATTAAAACAAAAAGTTGTATTGCCATTTAGGTGCCAAAATATGGGTCGGCCGGTCGGTCTGAATTCCTTTTTTGTTTTACTCCCTCTTTGGGCTGTTATTTCTCAGTTTTTATGCTTTAATACATTTTTTTTCTAAAAATCGGTTTAAAAAATAAACTTTTTTAAAACGCCGACCATAGACTTCAAGATTTTGGGGTCGGTCACAAAGGGAAATACAAATGGATCATGTAAATTGTTTGTAGTTTCAAGTTTATGGCAGTGCCGATTCCCACTTCAATTTTTGGACAAACTTCCCTAAAGTACTTGAAATGTGGTAAGATTTAATTTTGTTATCTGGTCAAATTATGTAATTGATGGAATATGGTATCATCAAATAAGATGGGTCAAATCAACTGATGCTTCTTTTATAGATGTGGTATATTCATTTTGTATTACCGGTACTCAAAATATACTATCTAAACATTTATTTACAATGCCTCTGACTTAATTACCTTTTGCAGCTCAACTGCGACGTTTGTTTCATATGAGAGGTAAAGGTAATAAAATCTTTGTAGAAGACTATTTGTATATATATGTACTTGAAATGTTTTGAAAGGTCAAACAATTAGTGACTTAGGCTGCATTGTCATGACTGTTATAGAATTCAGCATTAAAGTAGATCAATTGTATACATTTAAGAGAAAATCAGACAATTAAGAGGTCAAATAATCAGCGTAGGAGGAGTGAATCTGAAATGCGTTTTTGTAACAATTACAGTAATGAAAAGTATTCATGTGCCAATTAAGCTACAGTGTCAGTAAAATTGTGATAAAATTCAGCTTAAAAGCAACAACAACAAAAAATTAAGAGAGACTTTCAGACAATTTAGAGCTCAAATAATGGGGGTAGAAGTCATGAATCTGAAATGTGTTTTGAAACAATTACACCAACTAAGAAGTATTCATTTAAATTGCATAGCCAATTAAATGCCTGAATGACGATGATTCATAAATTTTGCGTTGTTTCCCGGACTTGCCAATTTAAATGTCAAATTCTGTTTGACTCAATTGGATGAGTGTAATGATCAAGATAAAATATAGTAGTAGCAAGTTTTCCAAACAAGAACGGCTAACTAAAATCATAGTTTACAGGGATTGTTGAATAGGAAAGAAATGTAACCATGGATGTAAAAATGTAGATTATCATGAAAAGTATGAAAAAGAAGCTTGCACTCATGTATCGGAAAGACTTGATTTCTTTGAAAAAAGTCAATCAACTTGAAATGTTTTTGTACTGAAGTCAAATAGTCTACTTTTTTATATATGCAAATTTTTAAACTGACCTTGTACGATGTAACGTGGTCCCTATTTTGCTACGATGAAATTTTTAGTGAAAGAATATCTTTTCAAAAAATACTTGAATTTTATTTTGACATATTTTGGAGTAAGATAAGTAATGTAAGTGCACACCCAGTTGTCCTGTTAAAGTTCAAATTTTGTTCAAACTTTTGGCAAGGTTATATTTTGTGTTTTCCCGTTCATTTTGTTTTCGTTTGCAAAGATCTTCCGTTGTGTTATTACACTTTTCTAATTCTGAGACTGTTTAGACTCCACCGGGTTTGGGGTAATGTGTTTCAAGCATTTAAGACAAGAATTGTTGAAAGTTCAATTGGTTTGGAAAGGTTTAAGGTTCAAATTTTGTTATTCATTTTATTAAAATAAAAGGTTAAGGCTGTAATCTCATACTGGAAATAGAGTTGCGAATTTCTGTATAGTATTACTCATATGGAGACAAAAATTGGAAGAAAAAATTAATGTTACAATAATCATTTTTGCCTGAAAGCTTGAGTGGAATCTAATTGTAAAAGTGAAAATATTTGATTTGCCATTTGTTACTTGATATAAAAGTGACAAATATAAGTGAAAAGTTTGTTGATGTTAAATTTGCAGTTGCCATGTACCGTTGCTAAATCATATCAATCAAAGTTGTTTTCAAGTTCAACCATTTGCTTCATTGTTGAAAGTTTTCTGATGGTCCTGTTTTGCTGGTTTTAGATGTTAAAAATGTTTAAGATAAATGTATTGTACTTAAAACAGGAAATAAACAATTTCTACTAATTCTAGTTGA